AGTCATGTGAACTTCCTAGTGACAGTGGCAGAGCTGTTTTAAATTGCAAATACTTTGCTTAAAACATAAATATTGAACACACTCCACACATGTAACTGAAATATCTAAGGGCTCACTCAAGTTCATGTGAAGTGAATCAAATCTCTCAATCACCCTAGCACAACCCAAAACCACCAGATTTTTCTTCCATGTCTTAGAAAAAAATGACCCCTCACTTTCCCCTCTTGCTCCTTTCCTTTTCCACTCCAGCTGGCAGAACCACACCATTATGTACCTTCCCTGACCATAATAACTTCATTATTTTCCTTACTGTATTGACATCTTCCACTTGGAGTATATCCATGCAGGATGCAATAATCTAGGTGTGTCTAAGCTGAGCTTCCAGAGACTGCCAGCTACAGAAGCAGATGCATGTCCTTCACCTATAGATTTTATTCAGAGGGACATTATAATATATGAGTAACAACATTTATAACATTTCCCAAAAATAATGTGTAACTCTCCTTCTAACAGCATGAACTGGACATAGTAAGTGGGTTTCTGTTTCATTGAGTGGACGTGCACAGGTTTATAGTATTAAACTGCAATGAGAACTTGATGGACACAAGGTGCCACACTTAACCTACTGATATGAAGAATTTGAAAAACTACACGTCTCTGTCTACACAAAGCCTCAGGTCATCCAGGGTTCTGGCAGAGGCCCAAGGACACAGACAAGATATGGCAAAGAAGGCAGTGGGGATTCTCAGTGGTCCATTTCACAAAGGACACAAATGTATCCTGCAACTTTGTCCAAGAAACTTCTATCCTGTCATTAAAAATCAGTGAAACCTGGCAATGGCCCACTCTCTACTTGTGGATGCAAGTTCTTACAGACTTATTTGGAGCGGAGAGAGGTTCCATCCACAGAGAGATTTACCCTGGCAAGTAATATTTCTCCAGATTCAGCTTATGTAGAGTGTCCTCCACTGTCTTTTCTTCAGTAATCCCACACTAATCACTCTATCTCCCCTTACTTAGTGAAGATTAATATTTGAATTTTTAAAATCAATCTAAATTCAAAATAAATTCAACATCATTACTAGGTCCATCCTTTCCTTTGGACAGGGCAAATAAAATTTATTATGACTGTGATGATTATTGTGATGAAAGGGAAATGAATATAAACCTGGTCTTCAACTCAGGTCATTGGAACTTCCCACATATCTTGTGTAGGCCCTTCCTAAATGTTTACTATGGTGATGTCTTCCAAAAAGCAGATGATTTAACAGCTTCTGCAAGGTACTTCTTGGCTTGAAGAGTATAGATAAGGTGGACTGGAAACCATGACCAGAGAGCAATGACCAAGATGATTGTCCACATCCATAGACTTTAATCAATATACTTCTATTCCCTGATCATCACTCAATGTGGACTCCATCAAGAAACACAGTAAAGTTCTATGTATAATAAGTGACATGATAAACACAACACACCACTGAATCCAGGACTTGATGAAAAACACACTTAATCTGATTTCAGGACAGGGTTTCAGGATAAGATAAGCCAAGACTCATCATCCTTCATGATCATGGTTGCATGTGTAATTTCCATAATCATATGGATATAATTCCATAAGACTGTCAGTGCAGGGCGTTTGCTTGCTCCAGCCCCACCTCAATCCCTTTCAAATGCACTAGGTTGTGAAATTATAGCAGCTGAGAAGGGACTAGGTGGTAGGAAATTTTTAGCTCCATTATAGTCTTAGGTGACTAGGCCTTATGTGTAACCATCATTGAGTTAAGCTGTGTTATGTAGCACAGTACCATGACAGCTAAATGATCATGTCATGATGTGGACAGAATCATGGATGATGAAGTCTTTCTGATGAGAGCTCAGATGGAAATAAGCAACAGGCTCTTGGGTACCAGAGGACAGGACATCCTTGTGTTAATGTGGTACATGGCATGGCAGAAGTGTGTTCATGCCCTCTTGTGCTGTGGATGTCAGAAGTTAAGGCAGTGAGATAGAGATATGATAGAATAGATCTCTAAATTCAGAATGAGTGGATGACACAACTTTCCCTGACTTCTTGTAAAAACAATTAAGAAAAGAGAACCAGGGCAAGTATGGAATTTAAAACCAAATGGAAAGCAAACTTACAGACTTGGAATGTCTTAGACTGTCCATGTTGTAACGATTGGAGAGCAGGGAGATCAGGTTGGGGGAGAGTATGAAGGCCATATCTAGAGGAACTTGTGATGAAGTGTCTGGTGTGGACAGAAGGTAACCAGGTGCTGTTCATCAGGATAATGGAAGAATAACCCAAAGGCTCAAAACTTTGAAGGTGTCCATCTGGTGCTCACTCTGCCAGCCTACAGTATCCTAGAGCTGTGATGCAGGGAAGTCTCCACTTAGATTTTTAAAAGGATTGCCATACAATCTCGTGTCAGGCAAAGAATCACTGCTGAAGGGGAGGCAGTGCAGAGAGCCTCCATGGGGACAGGGCCTGCACAATTATGGTATACGACCCTGTCCAGGTAGTTTCAACAGTAAAATTCTATAGAGGATATAATGGACGTGGAATTTCTGCTGTGAAACCAGCCCTGTAGATGATTCATTACTCAAAATAAACTATGAAGACCTGGGGAAATCAGCTCACATACATGAGGCTCTAGAGTCAGGTGCACACAGCAGAATATGGGTGAGCCTGCCCTTGAATCACATGCCCACTGCCAGTATGAATCAATAAAACATTGATGTTTAATGTGTGATCAACTGAAGTTCAGGATTTTACTGGACTTGTCACACATGTCTTTCTTCACATCATCCATATTGGAATGGGGGTGTCAAACAAATGCCAGGGAAGATATATTATTGCAGTCTCTACCATATTTTATTTAATATCAAATGTGTACAACATTTTATTTAACTTAGATTTTGTAGTTAATACTTGAACAGTACCATTGTGATTATGGCAATGGAGGAATTCATTTAATATGGAGAATGGACATGAAATTTTGAGGTCCAATGTGGGAAGCTATGTTTTGAGTACATACAATCCTCAAATCTCCTGTGTTTGTAACTTAATCAACAAGGTGATATTTATAGATGTGTCCTATGCAGGATATCTGACTTCTTAAAATTGAGTTAGTATTCCTATAACAGGCTTATGAGAGGGAACAGACCTCTTGTGTGATCTTCTTCAATGTGAGGATTCAGTGAGCCTCTCTTCTTCCTGTAGGTCATAGGGTGTAAGGTCTTTCAGTACAGCAACAAAGATGTCCAAAGAACCCCTGCATCTGTGAGCCATGGAACCCTCACACACTGGTGCCTCAGGACACTTGCTCAGCAGTAATACATCAACTGCATCCAGTGTCACCTTCACCATGGTGTCTGGTGACCTCTACCTCAGGGAAATTACACATTACTGCCATGGTGTGTAGGAATTGAGAGCAGAGCAGTGTTGTGAACAGCCCAAGGCAAAGACCTGAGTCCAGGCTCCATATTCCATGTGTGTTCACTACTTCTGGGAAGTCTGGAATCTGAGGTGTTTATCTTTCATTTGACAGATAGTCTAATATTATATTGTTTTTATCTTTGCTGTCAGAATAGGACAATCTTTTATCAGATCTCTACAACTGCAAGCTAAATAGCACCTGGATGTGTAATAACTAGAAACATAAAAAGTATCTCAAAACCCAGGAACAGGCCAGTTGACAAAAGTTAATTAAGTGTTCCATCCATGGGAAAATTACTGAGCATAAAATACATAAATGACTGAGCCCCAAAATGATGGGGGATTTTGATAAACATTATTATGTAAACATTTAAAACTATTAAAACTGTACACTGTAAATGATAGTTGTATAAATTTTGAAAAATGAAAATTAATCAAGTACAACATAAAGAAGGTCATGAGATGTCTGGAGATAGAAAAAGAGAAGTGAAAGGTTGGACAGGGATTACAGAGGAAACCAAGGACACACTTGAGGATTGAATATAGGTTCCCCTATTTGCAGTGATGGTGAACAAGTTTCCATGATGGCAGCATCAACAAACATGCTCCCTATAAATATGCAGTTTATTACACCCTGTGCTGAAACACAGTAATTTGCTAAAGAGAGACAACACATCTCAACATATAAAATATGACGGGCGAAGAATGCCATGAGATGCCAGAGTCTAAAACTCCTGAATCTGACAGAACCCTGGTTCTCTATATACTTTTAAACCTAGAATGCAGATATGACACACCTGTCTTCACCACAGAAGAGGGTTTTGCACTCCTCAACAGGTGTGCTTCAATCTGATTTAGGGATCAGTGTTGTGGATGGTTGAAGTCATGAACTCCTGTACATACAGCACCAACCATAGTGATTATTTTATTCTTCCAAATGTTTGAAAAGAAGATAAATTTAATACTTACAAGTTTTGTGTTCATGGAAAAAATTAACTAAGACCTATTGTTCATAATGCTTATCAGTCACATAATGGGACTTCCTGTTCACTTTAGTTTTGTTTAATGTATATTGCACAAATGGGTTTCATTGTTCATTTACATGCATGCATATAACGTGTGTATGCATGAATGAACAAACTCACCCCATCTATTACTGTTCCTGATTAGCTCTCCCTTATTTTTAAATAATTTGAAAACAGTTTAATTTTTCAATGTTCCATTAGTTTATCTTCGTACATGTCTGCAAAGTGCTTTGGCCATATTCAACGCCCAAGGTCTCTGTCCTTTCCCATTCCACCTCCACTGTTTCCCCACTAAATGCTCCCTTTCTTTCTTTAATGTAAGCGTTGTCAGAATCTCTACAAGGATGGTCAAATCTGATCTGAGCTTCCTGAATCTTCCACCCAGAGCTTGCTATATAGCAGGAGGACATGCAAATAAGGCCTCCCTCTGCTCATGAAAACCATCCCAGCACTGACCCTGCAGCTCTGGACAGGAGCCCAACCCTGGATTCCAGCTGACCCCATTCAGTGATCATCCTGAACACAGACCACTCACCATGCAGTTGAGGCTGAGCTGGCTTTTCCTTGTTGCTATTTTTAAAGGTGATTTATAGAGAACAAGAAGTAATGAGTGTTTGAATAGACATGAGTGTGAGGAAAAGTGTGACAGTTTCCTGACCATAATTCTCTGTGTTTGCAGGTGTCCAGTGTGAGGTACAGCTGGTGGAGTCTGCGGGAGGCTTGGTGCAGCCTGGAGGGGCTCTGAAACTCTCCTGTGCAGCCTCTGGATTCACAGTCAGTAGCTACTGGATGAACTGGGTCCACCAAGTTCCAGGAAAGGGGCTGGAGTGGGTTTCAACAATTAGTGGTGGTAGCACATACTACCCAGACTCTGTGAAAGGCCGATTCACGATCTCCAGAGACAATAACAAGAACCAGCTGTATCTGCAAATTAACAGCCTGAGAGCTGAGGACACAGCTGTGTATTATTGTGCAAGAGACGCAGTGAGGAGACTTCAGCGTGAGCCCAGACATAAACCTCTCTGCAGTTCTATTCATGACCAGCAGGTGGCGGTCTGCACACACTGATCTCAGGGTCAGTTTTGTGCCAGGTGCTGCCATGACAAAAGGGTTTTATGACTCTGAACATAAACCATTTTATTTTATTGTGATTTTCCAAATACATAAGATATATGCTCACATGAACAAAGTGTAGAATGTCACATTTAGAAGCAGAAGTGACTCTGTCTTAGTCAGATCTGCAGTGGTTCAGAGCTCCAGGTTAAGTCATTTTGCATGACAGAGCAGAGACTGTGGGATTCCTTGATTGAACAGACATTAGGACTCAGGTTGTGAAAAATAGGAGGTCCAGACTTCTCTCAGTGATTCATAAAACTTAACAGGGCTATCTCTTACCCTCGTTATGTGAGGAACTAGGTACAATGCACTCAGAACTGACCCATTTATATAATTTAATTCATTTTTCTTATCTAATAGTAATCATTTTTACATATCCCATTTTCCTTCATTCATCAAACTATTTTTAAAATCTCTTCTGTTTTTCTGTTGAAATTAACACATATGTTAAACTGCATTTTTATTGGAGTCTTCTCAGAAGACAGCCTTCTCTTGAGGTCTCAATTCCACTTCTATTCAGAAAATAAAGCAGGCTGCAGGAACCACAAATCAAAATCACACCAGAGAGTTAGATGGAGTGAAAATCCGTGGACATACCAAGTGTACACCTAAATACAAGAAAATAAGGAAATTGAGACACTTAAAGGAAGAACTCAGAAATTAAAAATCAGCAAAGTAAATTATTCATAACTAAGCAATAAAACTGAGGTTTGCAGGAAGTGAAAAACAGAGAAAAAGCAAGGTAAGAAATCCTGGAATGTACGTGAAATGAAGGTATGAGAAATAACAGTGAGAAAAACACAACAGAACAAATGAAGTGTCAGACAAAACAAGGAAAGGACCTCAATATTTATCGAGGATGGAAATGCTGCCCTTTCTTCCCTATTTACTCGGTGAAGGAGGAGGAGAAGAATTTCAGGATGTAGTCATAGGTAGTAACTTCCCCAGAAAGACTACATTACTCCAGAAAATAGCAGCAGGAATGGACAAATTCATTGTACTACATTAAAAAAAGGTAATCTGCATAGAAAAAAGAATCAGTAGAGGGAAGAGTTGGCCAAAAACCTTGAAAATGTCTTTCTAAGATATTCATCTAACAAGGCCCAGAGTGTATTTATAACACTCATGTGCTGTAGTCATCTTCATCTTCATCATTTTCATTATCATCTACTTGGACATGAAATTGGAAAGGATACTACCTGAGAAGAGATGGGAATTGAGGGGACAAAATAGGGAAAGGAAGAGGGAATTGAGGATCAATAAAATCACAGTATATTTTATTCATATATAAAAATATCACAAGAAAACTGATTATTCTGTAAAATTTTATGCACTAAAATTAGTTTTAATATGAAGAAATATTTCCACCTAAACAAATGCTCGGGGTTAACGTATGAGTACAGAAATGACTCTGTTGTGGTTACGAGAACAAGACCTCTGGATGCTTGATGGTTGAGAATGAGTGATTTTCCATGAGAAAAGAGAGTTCAGTTAAATTTCTTCATTTGGAAAGTCTATGGGATTGAGACTGGATTCATGGGAGAGGCCACACAGGCCTTGGGACACTTAAACAGGAATGGATCTAAGTTTCTCCTTCCTTGTCAAGCATACTGCTCACAGCAAAACCAGGATTTACCCAATTCTCTTCTGCTTCTGTTTTCCTTTTTACCCTAATCAATTAATAATTAGGTTTCTTTCTCACATCTCCCTGTTCTCTACCTTCTTTGGTAGAATGTGGGATGTAATCTCTGTTTTCAACACCAGGGCAAAAATCCTTTACAGGAACAAAAGCACTGTCAGAGAGATAAAGGAGGATCTGTGCTGGAATTAACCATGAAGAAGCAAATCCAGAGGCTGGGTGGATATTGACTGGACTATCAGTAAGGAGATGGAAAGAGCTTGGAGGTGATAGCTCTCTTCTGTGCATGTGGGATCATCCTTCTAAAGTCAGCTACTCTCTTATCACAAATGTGAACATCACTTGAGTCATAAAGCAGAGAGATTTCAAGTAAGTCCCAGGTCAACCACACCTCAATCCCTCTGCACATGTGAGAAAAGGACTCCCCCAGTGCAGATTGTTTTGAAGTCTCTAGGTTAAGTCCACCTATAGGCTTTTGGGAGTTATAACTCTCCCTTTACAGGGCTGAGGTCTCTAGGGAAGACTGTTGTGTCTTCTGTGCGTACTGTCTGCCTCCCAAGGTGGGTGTCCCAATTGTCATACATGAGTGTAGAGGAAACATGTGACTGCATGAGACTCAGAGGATTACTCTCCTTGTTCCCAGGTGTCCTTTCCTGGGGGCCACTTCAGGAATCAGAACCTGGCCTGTTGAAGCTCTCACAGACCCTGTCTCTAACCTGTGCTGTCTCTGAATTCCCTACAAGAACAATTGATACTGCTGGGTCTGTTTCTGCCAACTCCAAGGGAAGGATCTGGATAGGGTCGAACCCATTTTTTATAAGGGGGACACATAATACAGCTCATCCCTCAAGAACTGTATCTCCATCTCCAGCGACACATCCAAGCACCAGCACTTCCAGGTTGAGATCTGTGACCATGAAGACACTGCTGTGTATTACTGTGTAAGATGTGCACAGTGAGGGAACCTCAGAGTGAGTCCTGACATAAGCCTCACTGCAGGGGCGCTCTGGACCAGCAGGGGGTGCACAGCTCACAGCAAGCACAGCCTCAGCCCACAGGTCAGGTGCAGACTCACACATAAAGTTTCCTTCCTGAAGCTCTGATTCCTATCCCAAAATCTCCTCCCACAAACCACAATGCATAGTGACTGAAGTAATCTCGCTATATCAAACACCAGAATTTGTCTTGTCTTTCTGGTGATAGAATTGATTGAATTCAGGATCATGTGCTACCCATGTTGTTGCTCTACCATTTATATTTTTTAGAAAACTTCAATACATTTTTGGAAAGCAGTTGTGATAACTACAGGCAAGATAACACAGTTGAAGACTTCTGGGATTGACAGTTACTAATAAGAGTCAGGATAAAAAAATAGACTGTAGAAGCATGTGAAGCAAGAGAGAAATGGCATCAGAAACCAAAACAGAAAGACAGGACAACTGAAAAAAATGGAGATACAGAAATAACAAAAAGTAAAATAGGAAACAGTCTGCATGTCCTGTCCTGGTTTCCCCATGTGGGGAGGGACCAAGGTCCACCACAACATTTGCTAAGTGGCTAGTGGCAGTCCTAACTGTGAGAAATTATCACTTTCTCCCAAGCCTTAAGTCCTATGTGTGAATTTTCTGTAAGTGTGACTTTTCCTGAATGACAGCCTAGCATCTGAGAAGAAAGCCATGTTTTTTTGGCTCTTCATGTCTTGGAAAGCTACAGCAAGATGCCATCTTTAGAAAGGACACGCATATTTAGATTGAACTTCACTGGGGACTGAGAAGTAGGATTCATCCTGGCTCAGGGAATCTTGGGACACTTTGCTTCAGGATCTGCATGGGAGATGGACACGGTAGGAGCTATTGGAGAATGAGAGGTTCTGACATTGGCCCACTGAGATGTTCAAACAAGAAGGAGCCCCAGCAATGAAGTGCTTTGTAGTTGGTGGGCACACCCACCTTGGAAAGCAGCAAATCACCTCTCTTGTGGATCACTGTGGAACAGAGGACCAGACTTATGTTTGACATCCAAGAGATGCCTGACAAATGCAGGTGTTTGCTGTCAGGTACACTAATGTCTCTGAGCACAGATCCTGAGAAGTACATGATTTCCCCAATCTACTCTCTCCCACAGAGTTTAATAACTGCTGAGTGGATCAGAAAGTACTGAGACTTTACTCGAGGTGCTGCGTGCCTACTGTCAGTGATTTCTACCAATCTGCAAGCATAGATCCTGTTCTCCTAACCAAAGGAGAAAGAACTGTTGCCTAGCATCTGACAGCACATAGACAGCAGGTATAGCACTGATTCCCACAATTCATTACCACTGATACAGAACTCAAGGATGTGTTTGCTCCTCCAATATCCAAACTATATGAGCAACACTACTAGGCTTGGATGCTGTTGAGCCTGTGGAGAAGGAAGATCTTGCCCAGCCCACAGGATGCAAACATCCTTTACCAAGCTGCAGAGTTCACAAAGAAGGGGAATCAGTAGCACAGATTGGACAAGTGGCCTTGACCAGCCTTGACCTCAACCAACATATAAAACCCAACATGTATACAAGAAACTACACCAGACACAGCTAATTTTCCTGGGTCTCAGTGATGGTGCCTTCACCAACATCTCCCCAGCCTATGGCAGCATCCCATGTAATGCAATCACACTGTGGATTAGGACTGGGTTCCAATTACGTGCTTTATCTCTGGAATGTGGTGCTGTACTGGAGAGAGCTAACACTGGTATGATTTTAATGGCCCAAATCTGCAGGTCTGCTTGTGGTGGAGCCTCTGGAACAGCTCAACTTGTTAAAGAAAAACACATGATGCAGGCTGTGTGATGTATATTCTTCCTAGTATCACTGCAGGCTGGGAGAGTGATCTTGGGTCACAAGTCCAACTCAGCAAAAGGCTACCACAGAATGTGCACTTTTGTCCTAACCCACTATTGTGCTGGTCTTTGTGGAGTGGGAGCTCAGAGTATGAAAGATCATGACATCTTGGTGGCCAAATGTGTGACACAGAAGCCTGGGCTTGGTCCACTTCTTTGACTACCCAGAGCCACCAGATACCTGCTGTGTCAGTTCCAGGCATTGACCAGGGTGTAACCAATATGGTAAAAATCCCAGGCAGAAAATCTTAAATCATGGCTTAATGGATGCTCTATTAACATGATGAAAAGGCAGATATGCACTTCAAAATGCCAAAAGAGGATTTTAACAAACAGATGGAAGCAATGTAACAACCAAAAAAGAATCCTCAAGGAGAAAACCCACTCAGTGAATTTAAAACTGCAAAACAAGTCTTCTGAGTCAGGAAAAGTTACAAAGAAGAAGAAATTATTGAGCTTAAAGACTGGCTATTGACACGTACATAGTGGGGGAGTCAAAGGTGAATGGGAATAAAGAAAACTTACAGAAAATTGGGACAGTCTGAAAAGAGCAACATTTGGGGTATTGAGACACAAAAAGTACTTGAAATTGTTCTCAGAAAGAAAACTAATTCAAAGGAATACTGATAGAAACAACAACAGAACTGAGATGGATATGAATATCAGGAATGGAAAGGTCTAAGGTCATGAGAATACAACTCAATGAACTCTAACCCAACAGATCTTGTAATCATGGTCTAACAAGTGAAATGAGAGAGTTTTCCAAGACTGCAAGAGTATAGAAACTAATGAAAATCATGGTTCTCCAATTTTCCTGACAGCTGACTTCTCAGCTGAAAACTTACAAGACAAGGAAGAGGGCAATGGTAAATTCACAGTAATGAAGGAAAATCCTGAAAAATTGAAAATCTTTTATCTAGCAATTCTATCCCTTAAATTTGAAGGTAAAAGAACTTTCCCAACAACCAGAGCTAAGAGAATATATCTTCCAAAGTCTAGTAAATATGAAATGCTACAAACTGAAAGAACAAGGTATTAGTGAGTGTGAGGACCCATAGAAAGAGTTAATCCTTACCAGGAAGGGGTAGTACTGAAAGTTTTATAATGGAATCCAAATTTTATAAGGTGTGAATGAATAGAGGACTACTGGAAATTTTTCTTATAAGTATATAGTTCTTGTTTTTTTAATTTGTTTTTGTGTTCTTATCCTAATGATCACATGAAGTTATTATGTGAGAAAATGCCTTTGATCATTACCTCAATTTGACATTCCAACAGGTGTACGTATTTGAAAAATTAATGATTTGAAAGATGTTTCATGGTTCAACTATTACCAAATCATTAGAATTGCATTCAAATAAATTAACATTCACCAATAGAACAACTTTGTGTTGTACTGGCAAATGCATAATTTTAATATTCAATTAAGAAAATAAAATTAAAAATAAAAACCTTAGTGTAAGTGGCAGGTCAATTAGAGCAATAAGCAAGCAATGAAGGTTGCCAAGAGTGGCCAAGTTCACATAGCTTGATAAACATTACTCAAATTCCCTAAATTGTACCACTCATTGTTTAACACTGAACAGAATATACAAAATAAATAACCACATTTATTATGCAAGAAAAATGGCAAACAGATTGGTTATACTATTTAATACAAATATGTGTTAATTTCTGTCTGAAGTGACCAATGTGTGTTCCTCTCTGAACAGGTCTGACAAAACAAAGAAACCAATACAACTCTGTGATTTATTGACTGGATTAACCTCTAGTTTACAGAACTTATTAACCATAGTCCTTAACATTCCCTTAAATGGAAATATCCCATAACAAAAAAAAGTTTTAAGTAGTATGAGAAGACTGGAGGAATAGCTAAAGTAGCAGAGTGAAAGCCAACCTGCAGCCATGGAATTAATAACCAGTACCACAATGTAAGCAAATGAATAAAAGAAAACAAAATAAAATGACAGAAGTGCTTGACATGGTGGTGTAGGCACCCATTTTCCAACGAGGCAAGAACAGAAGAATAACAAGTTCTAGTTTATTATAAACCAAGATAGCAAGATTTTTTCACAAATACAAAATAATAAACAAGTCTTGAGAGAGCAGATGAGATAGAAAATGCACTAAACATTCTGGAGATGCTTACTGAATCCCATGGTAGCCATAGTACTAAGAAAATGCACAGGAATACTGCACAAAACACACGAATTGGTACAGGTTGTAAGGTAGCGCAGGGAGCAAGCAATGGTTACCTCTGTTGATTATGAAATATCAATTTTGGTCTTTCTTCTTATTTGCTCATGACTTCACAAGAAGAGGGAGGTATGTGGGGGATCATGAGAGAAAGAAGTCCCATATTTTGGTCCTACCTGTAGGAGGAGCCCAGCTGTTAGTACAAGGCTAACTGCCTATTGTGTCTCATTGGTGGAAGATGCTTCCATCCCAGACTAAGTCATGGATGTTCTCCACTCTGGTTTCTGGAAGTGGACCTTTTTCTATTAAGCCTTTGTCTCCAGACAACATGACTTTCACATATTCCAGTAAGATGGATTGGAAATACAGACTAATATGAAAGATTTACTAATTCTTGCTCACAGTAGACACTGTATGTGACAAAAGGGCAGCAGCTGAGGGGCTGTGCAGATAACAGAAATGAGTGACACCTCTGGAAATCACAGAGGGCAGCCCTTCCTGTCCCACAGAGGAAATAAGGAAATGCACAAAACTCAGAGTTCTGCCCTGAGACAAAGACCTGGGCTTCACAATCTGGTCACAGAGACTTTGTAAAATGCCTCTGAGGGCAGGGATGTATGCCAGGCTCTTTCTTCTCAGGACAAGAGGAGAGGCTTCCTTCCTACTGAAGAGAGTTCTAGGAGATCTCTCTTGAGGACACAAAATGCTACATAAGGAATTATAGATAGCTAGGCACAGCCCCCACTACTCTTCCTCTGTTATGTCCATGGTCCCCTGGGTAGGAATAAGACTGTGACATTGAAAGTGTCCTCATGTTATTCTGAAAAGAATGATCCTTGGTCCCTATTAAGATGTGCAGAAACAAGACAAGATGTGACTACTCTGCTTTGGTTCAAAAGCACCTGTATTTTGAGGCCTGTCCTCAAAATCTTTGATTACAATAATTTCTTTCTGTCTTGTTGGTAAAACATTGAAGGAGAGGTTCTTGAATATGCTATGGACGAGGAGTCTTCAACCAGCTCTCTATCAATCCTCATGATAGTAAACCAGATCATAGAGAGCTGCTGCCTGAAAACTAAGAGTAGATTTAGGCAACAAGCATGTGGAACAGTTTCTGAGTTTGTTTCAAAGGTAGAGGAATGGGGCCAAAAACTGATTGCCAAATGTCTGTCGAATTTGTGTTAGGACATCATCCTTGTATGCAGGCTACTTATGGTGAATGATTTTTCCAAAAGTAGTGTACCACAATAATTGTGGGTGTTTAATTTCAGGGATAATCTACAGAGAACACGGGAGGCAGAACATAGAATGGTAATGGTCCTTATTACATGCACAATTTTCATCTGGGGAATGAGGCAGTTTAAGTGGCTTCCCTATTTCTCAACTCCAATGGAAGAAAATCATATTGTGAAGAAATACAGGACAGAAGCATTTTCTCCAGTCCTTGATGATTCTGAAGCTGCTGTGTCTTGGATCAGAGGATGTATTAGAGCAATAGAATGTCCAAAAGTTTTCTAACAATAGTAATGTGAAAATGTGACAAAATCCCAGGTATCTTGGGAAACAAATCTAAGTAGAAGTAAAGGAGAAAGAAAATGGGAATTGTACTAGAATGAGAACTTGGGAAGCAAAACCTGGAGCCTGATGGGTGAGAGAGAGGGGCTGGATCCAGAGAGCAGAGACTGGAGTGGCAGAAGGTAGAGCTGGGGATAGGATGGTGAAGAAACTCTGACCTGTTTCCAGCAATACTTATAAGACAAGTGTTCTCTTATTACACATATAAACACTGATAAGAGTTCAAGACACATTATGTTGCAGAAAACCACAAGAGATCCAAAGAATTCTGACTTCAGTCCTTGTGCACCTTTAAAGAACAGGACTCACCACATGCAAATTATTGTTCAAGTTCAGGTTAAATTACCCTATTGGTCTGGGAGAATGCACAGCTCTCTCCTCAACAGGGCTGAGGTCACTGTGGAAGCCAGGGTTGTGGTCTAGAAAATGAGATTGTTGTGTCTTCTCCTGTGCCTGTGGCATCTCCCAACAGTGAGTGTCCCCAATGTCACACATGTGTCCATGAGTGATTTCATGGCAGATGATTAACATGGATGTCTCTCCTTGTCTCTAGGTGTCCTTTCCCAGGTGCAGCTGCAGGAGTCAGGACCTGGCCTGGTTACGCCCTCACAGACCCTGTCTCTCACCTGTGCTGTGTCCGGATTCTCCAGCACTGCCAGGCCAGTCCTTACTGCTGAGACTGTATCTGTCACCTCCCAGGGAAGGGCCTAGAGCAGATGGGTACCAGATGTTATGATGGTAGCACTGGCTACAGCCCATACCTCAAGAGCCACATCTCCATCTCTAGAGACATGTCCAAGAACCAGTTCTCCCTGCAGCTGAGCTCCATGACTACAAAGGACACAGCCATGTATTACTGTGCAAGACACACAGGGAAGGAACTTCAGTGTTTACCCAGACAAAAACATCCTTGTAGGGACCATCAGGACACACTGAGCACCAGGCCAGTCGCTAGAAACACATGCTTTCTGATGCATGAATGTCTTTTGCTGAGTCTGTGCCCCTTCTCTCTTGAAGAAGAGCCAGCTTCTCTCTTGAAGCCACCATGAAGATCAACTATGGAGAAGCATTTATTATATAACAGTTCTGGAGGAAATATACCAATTTGTGCTCTAAGCATTTTGTTTTTCAGGGAATATACATTTCTGCTTCATTTAAAGGATGTTTTTGCTGAGTAGAGTATTCTTACTTTGTAGGCCTTTTTTATTCAGAACTGTGAGAAAATTTCAGAACATTCTCTCCTGGCCTGTTGTGCAGTTTCTGCTGATAAATTTCCTTTAAAGTGAATTTGGAAACACAAGTTCTAATTTTTGTTTCATCTTAAAGCCTTGAGAAGCTTCCATCTGTCTTTGGCCTCTGAGAACTTAACTGCAAGGGGTCTTGGATCAACGTTGTGGCTCAAACAGTAGAGCACCCATTTAGCAAGCATGAAGCCCAAAGGTCAATTCTCAGTACCAAAAAGAAAGTAAGTGTGTCTGGGATTAGATGGGGTTAAATTAAATCAGATCTGTAGGTATTAGTCTTCCTATATATGGAAATTTGTTTGCTTCTACATTGTATTTGTGGATGCTTTTCATTGAAAGTTCTCTGAATAATATTGCCCCTCTATGGGGCAATATTGTCCCTGTTATCTTTCAATACTTAACCAGAATATGTATTTTTAAATTAATGTTCTAAAACCCCTATAAGCTTTCATCATTCTTCTTCATTCCCTTTACTTTTTTTTCTTATCCATGTGGATTTTCAAATAGTCAATCTTCTAGTTTATCTGTGCTGTTGTTGATGTCTTCCATCATGTTTTAAGTCACTGAGTGTGTTTCTCAGCTCAAGTTTATGCTTGATTTTACAGAATTATGTCCATCTGTCTTACATGCCTGCCTTACTCAGTCACTTATGTTTGGTTTTCTTGGAATTCCTTCAGTTTCCTGAAAACACTGTTTAAGTTATCTGTATGATGGCTTGGCCACCTTATCTCTTTCTTGTTTTTCATTAGGTATGTTCATTGTTTCCTGACACCTTTACATACGTGTTGGCATATGACAGAATCTAAATACTGAAGGAGCAAATATGTATTCTAGTCTTCCTGTATTACTTTTGTTTTTGTCTCTGTTTGCATAAATCCCAAGCTGGTTCCTTATTTTCTCAGTCCCATGTTTTCCAGTAACTTCCACACTTTTACTCCTAGATATTTCCAGGTCTAGTTTGGTTCAAATCTTTTGCTAGTGCATTGCTTCTAGGTTATCACTAGAGGGTGATCAAAGACCAGATTGTCCAAAACAACGATGATGAGTTCAGAATGAACAGGGGAATATCTAGAAATAGTGGCCCAATCCCACAAGCCTTCCCCTGCGCCAGGGTAGGCTCAGATGTCTCATTCACACTAACTGACCTATGGCAAAACTGGAATCTGCCCAGCTCTTGGCAGGATCACCATGGAAATGGGAACCCCAAGCCCATTTGCCAGATGTGTGGCTACTAGCAATGCTCAGGTGATCCACAACTGAGGCATTGTCCTATATATCATCAGGTCACTGCAGAGGGAAGAAGGCCTGCACTGTTTTGGGCTGCACGTTGCTGAGCTACAGTCATGGTCAAACAGCTCTGCAACCATCCACACTTGAAGCCAGCTGAATAGAGTTCTGAGGGATTGGGTCCATGTGTCTTTCCCTGGCACAGGGTTTAGTCCAGAGTATCTTATCCAAGCCAGCGTGGAAATAAGAACATGAGGGATCTTCCCAGTGCTAAGTTGAATTAGAGTGGACCTAAGCCCCAGAACAAACTTCATGACCTTGCTGCCCCTGTCCTACAACCGTGTGATGTGGTATTGCACCATATTTTGGTGCCTGAAGGTGCTATAAAGCCAGCAACTCCTTGGCAACCTAGGCTAAAGCTATTCTGGTATGTACCTGATAGTCACACCACCAGGGACCTGCACTGAGTCAGAGTGGAGAGCTGTGTACTCCAGGTCACTGAAGAGCTGGCATGGACTGTGTTGCACTAGCATACAGTTTACTGCCTCATGTCACCATTGGTGTACATGCCCTATCTTTTAATGCTGACCTGTATGTAGGCACTTTCCTTTCTGCACAGTGCTGGTTCTCAATGCAATGCTCCTGGCTATGAGCCCCAATGCAAATGCCTGTGCTTGTCCCCATGTCCCAGGCCTTGGAAATTAGGGTCTCCACTCTGTCACAAGAGGTTGGGTGAGGGGTAGTGAAGGCAATCTCTTTGCTTCCTGGCCTAAAACCATTTCATTGGTTTTGCTCCTGGGCACTGCCTGGAAGAAGGGGAATTGGGGTCTGAATGTCACTAAGTATCAACACAACAGGCCTGCTATAGGGCTTCACATCTTGGGAATTGACTGAATTTCCTAAGAATTAGGCTTCTTTCTCCATTTCGTGCAGCTTGGAGGTTGGGTGGGTATGACACTGAATAATCCTTCCTCCTGCATTTTCAATGAGTCTTTGTACTGTGTTGTTCTAAATCCCCATAGCAACAGCATCAGTGTTGGCAGCTCCTCATGACAGGGTTGCATTAATCCCTTGGTGACCCACAGTATGCCTTGGCAGTGCTTCTCCACAACTCTGGTGATCAGGAACATATCTGACAGGGATAGCAGGGCAGCAGCACAGTAACTTCTCAGGGTTATGGAGAGCCACCTCCCTTTGTACTGTGAGCCTCAGCAATGCACACTGTTGTTTACCACCCTCCTTTAAGCAGAGATCATCCCACCTCTATAGGTTCATGAAGCCCTGGTGACCATTAACTGCACATACCTTCTTTTCCTTTGTACACACTGTAACATGTGAAGATATCCATGGAATCATGTGACAGCAACTGGTCCCCTGAGCCTAGTGGTGGTTTTATTTGTCCTTAAGGTAGATATATGTCATTCTAAAACATACAAATTCCAGGATAATGCATTTGACCAATGACTACATTATGGAAAACTTGATACCATAATGTTATTCTTAAAAGTTAGTCTATTATCAAAGTTCAATATAGCAGAGCTAAATATGTAGCAGATATATGGAAGGATGCACAACGGTAGCACAGCACAACACATCCCAGCAGAATGTACAAGGACTCCAGTAACAGCATGACAACCAGCATGTGGTCATCATGCTTCCATCTCAAGAGAATTCCACATGAAACCAGTGGAATCCACTTTCTTTCCAAAGCCTCCACATATCCTCGTCTGCTGGAACATCCATCTTTGTGATGCAGGTGACATTTTTCTTTGTCCCTCAGCTTGTTCACAATTGGGGAATACATAAGTTATGTCATGTGGGAAGTTTTCACCTCATTGAAAACTGAAGCACAGCTCTAAACAAAAATAGTATCACACATTTCACACCTCCAGAAAAGGCATGAGGGATGATAAAGCAATAATGTTAGATTAGGTTTCTCAAATGGACTCTGTAAGTATGAGTGAGATGCTGAAATTTCCTAAAATCAAACCACTGGCAGCACAAGTAGTATATTTGTCAAGGCTTCTGCCTGCTGTAGTACTCAACACATGTCCATTTTTCTTAAGCTTAAACCTATTGATTTTTATCATATTGCCTCCTCATTTATACTGTGATTCCATTTTATCAAACATTGGTTATGGTAGACTTTAATCCTTCTCTGTTGATCACAGAGAGGGCAATAAAAAGCAGTCAGAAATAGTTTCCTGCAGGCACCAAGACACATACTTCTCATCCTTTGATGTGATTTTTAATGCATCACTTTGTCTCTTTGCCAGTACTCTAGGGAGGAACAATAGTTGTAGTGATTTCTGGCTGCATATCCAAGGAGAACACCAATCTACTGGAACAAGGACTCACTGACTCCAAACCATGTTGCTCAACAGAAGAATTCTGTAGAGAGGACCCTGTTCCTGAGGGGGCAGGCCAAATTGATAGGAAGCAGACATAGAATGTTCACCTAAGGGCACAGGTGCTCCTCATTATAGATTGCTCCCCTCTTGATGCCTGAGACCTGACTTCACTCATCAGGATCAAGATCCTTGTTGGGGGAATGCAAATCTCCTAAGACCCGTCCACCACTGGGTTGAAAAGCCCATCACAGAGCCTGGATCATGACTGCTCAACACCATGGACAGACTAGGTTCAACTCTCCTGCTACTGATGCTCCCAGCATGTGAGTGCTCTGCAGTCCTCCATTGGGGTGAAAGTGTCCTGTCTTCACCTCAACTGCTTCATCTTCTTCTCGTGTTTCTCCACAGGGGTCCTGTCACAGATCACACAGAAGAAGTCTGGACCTGGGCTGGTCCCACCATTCCGGACCCTTTAGCTGACCTGCTTTTTCTCTGGCTTGTCACTGTCCACTACTAACATTGGTGTGAGCTGGATTCGTCAGCCCCCACGGCAGACTCTGGAGTGGCTAGCACACATTTGGTTGAATGATGGTAAATACTATAACTCAGCACTTAAGAGCCGAATCACCATCTCCAAGGACAGCTCCAACAACCAGGTGTTCCTCACAATGACCAGCACAGAGCCTGCAGACACAGCCATCTATTACTGTGCTCGAGACCACAGTGACATGGGATCAGGTGCCTCCTGCACAAGATCGCAGGCTGTTCCTCTGTGGTCTGTTCAGAGGGAGTCTGTTCCCTCCTCTGTGCGACAGGAAAGTATGGAGGATGTGCCATTTCCTGTCAGGCTCTGGAATTTCCTCTATACCCAGGGCCTTAGGAACCACTT